CTCTGCCCAACCTGTCCACGCTGTCAGTGACACACACACACACACACACACACACACACACACACGTACATACATCTCTGCTGTTTCTTTGCCATCCTCTCTGTATCTACTCTGCATCTATTCTGTCCATCAGGAATCTTCTGGCCAATCCTTTTAACTGTGACTGCCGTCTCTCCTGGTTCGGGGCATGGCTCCGGAGCCGTCGAATTGTGACGGGGAATCCTCGCTGCCAAGGCCCCGCCTTCCTCCGAGAGATCCCGCTGCAGGACGTAGCTGTACCCGACTTCCGCTGCGAGGACGGTACGATACACACACTCTCAAATATATACTCGAATATACCGTGACAGGAATGTAGTAATCACTGTAACATGAATTACCTGTAGAGCAACATGTAGACAGAGGTAAAGAGAAAGAATGACAACCACATCATGTAAAATGCTTCTTCACATCAATGTTTTATCAAAGCTGAGCCCCCACCCTCCTGTCTGTGTGTTCAGGCTCTGTTCTGGAGGACAGCAGCTGTGCTCCGGGGCCGCAGTGTCCCAGCCAGTGTACCTGTATGGACACCGTGGTCCGCTGCAGCAACAAACACCTGCAGACTCTGCCCAGAGGACTTCCCCGCAACGTTACCGAACTGTGAGTCTAAAAGCACAACCACAGCAACTTTTCCACTTAAACTGCGTTTCACATCATCTTCAGTCCTGTCCCCGAAGTGTCAGGCACTTTAGTCCTCGGCTCATTTAGACCTTCCTTGCTCACTGCCTGGCTCTCCAGTGTAGTCCAAAACACTACCACAGCATGTTTATTATATATAAGTTCACAAATGTTAAATTCATTCAAGTTTAAAACTAAACATAATACTACGAATTATGTTGTGTTTGTAATTAATTTTGTCATAACACAAAGCAAAACAAAAAGAAAGTTGTAGTTACCTTATGCTACACACACATTGAACATACTACATACATAATAAAGTTAGGATACCATAAAATACATCAATAAATACAGTTATACAGTTTATATGCATATCTGTCTGACTCTCTTCCTCTCCTCCTGGGGCGACAACACCCGCCATGGTGGGCCTCTCTGAGCGATCTGGCTGGGTGGATCCACTGCTCTTTAATCCAAACCCCATGCTTCCTTTTTTAGATGACTGATATTTCTGTCATTGGTAATACATGTTTCAGCCAGAAAGCGTCAGATGAAAAACGAAAATGTAATGAGCTTCTGGCCACAGCATCTGTCTGTGCAGCTGTTACCATGGTCAAAATCTACTGATGCACTCGATTGGAACAATTTTGGCTTAACTCTTTAACATCAAATCCAATCAGACATCATTCAATAATGTTTTGAGCAATAAAGCCAAATAATACCAAAATGCAGCAAGTTTGGAGGAGTTACTGGCTGCTGCATGTGCATGCACAGCTGTTGGAAAACCTTGAAAAGTCTCGATCAGGAAATTAATCCATACATATATGAATGCAGCTACTAAATTAGACACAGTAGAAGGTGTGACAGTAATTACCTTATCAGCAAAGTTTATCTTCTCTGATTGAAAGGTTATAATGGGTTTCTAAGGTTGTTGGTACACACTGTAAGATGTAAATTAAAATGATATTTGAAAAACTAATCCAGCAGGAACTTTACGCACATTTGTTTTCTTGTCAAAAGGTGTTACAATTTCATTCTATTCATTCAGGAAGCAAATGGAGGATGTGAATTGTTCTTAATCAGCAGAGATGCACAGCAAATGCCCCTCTCTCTCGTCCTCTCAGGTATCTGGATGGTAACCAGTTCACCAGTGTTCCCAAGGAGTTGGTCTCTTTCAAATACCTGCAGCTTGTGTAAGAGGCACTCTGTTCACACTCTAATGTACCTCCTCACACTCTATCACAACCACCGACACTGATGACACTTTCTTTTCTGCCGCTGTGAACACATCTACATTGAGTACAGTGCAGTGACCCAGACACATTTTTATTGTTTTGTCTCTGCTCCTGCACATTGGATCAGGTTTAAGTACCGACTGTAAGAGTGAGCAGTGTAGGAGTCGTAGCTCACGGTGCAGCAGGGCAATGATCCTAAACATACAGACGGGCTAACCAAGAAGCTTTTAGAGCCAAAATATGAGATAAGGTAAAATAGACGTTAATAATCCCACACTGGGGAAAAAATACAAGCTATAATAAGAGTTATATGTACACAATGTACAGCTTTTTATATACAGATGTGATTGATATGGGACATTACACAGATCACAGCAGTATAGATTAGAGAAATAAAGGCTGTAAATATAAAGTATAAGACTAGTTCTACATTTCTGGTATTGTGGCATTCCTTGTTTACATCTTAGTTGTTGATATTGAACTGTAGCTTTCTTCTGTTTCAGTCTTTCCTCCGTCGACTGAGGATCTGGTTGGATCTCCTCGATCCACTGTCCCTGATCGCCAGTGATGTAAGTCGCTCCCACTACAGTGATCTCACACTGTGTAGACAATATCTGACGTCTAACTGTTCGCTGCTCTCCTCAGGCTGAAATACAGAAGGCCCACACTCTTCTTGGAAGCGGAGAGAAAGTAAATGAAAAGGTTAGATTGTGTTTTGAAGAATCTCAGCTCAGTACATCGGTCAGCTTTAATGAACCTGCACATTTATTTCAATCTGTTCTGTTTCTCCTCCTCTAGGATGTGACCCTCTCGCTCGTAAGTCTCATATATATCTCTGCATAAACATCCACCGTTACAAGTGTGTTTATATCTGAAGGTGTCCAGATGTTGTGATTTGAAGGAGTTTTGGTTAAAAAGTCTTAATGGCTGCTCTGTGTTTACAGTCGTCCGTCCACGCGGATTCTGGTGCCAATCTTCCACTAATTTACCGGCCTCCAGGTACAGGCGAATCCAGGCTTTTTCCATCATTAAAATTAGCTGAACACGTAGTGCATTCATATCGTGTGGTATCAGGTTTTCACTGTGTTCTTATACAAGGTATAATGGCAGGAAATCAGTGTTTGCTTGTAAAAGTCAAATTAAAACTACTTTCATTCAGAAATCTGCAGCTTTTGTCAGATTTTGTCTTTAAACATCTCAAATGCATAAAGTATCACGTATGTTATTGCTGTGAAATTAAATCACCAAAAACTTAAATGTCCCTGTTTGTGTCATTTTCTCTCTAGCACTGTTACCAATGTCACTACCTCTGGTACGTGTGTCCTCCTGTAAATATATAATCACACTTTGTCTTTTATCGGTTGTGGAAACAAACATTTAATGGATCTCTATTTCAGGTGGCTGGCAGTCTTATACCACATATCAGAATCAAACATGCTGCGTTCTGGCAGGTAATGAAGCGTATTCATCATATTATCATATAATATATTACATGTAATAACACGGTGTATACTAATGAGTAAAATATGTTTCAGTTTATGCTGCAGAGTTACTTTGCTGGGTTCAACTACGCAAACAGAAATTCTTCATCAGAGAAGGTAATGTATATAAATACACTGTGTATATACTCAGATATTGAGTTATGTCACCACCCCCAAGATTACTCTCATGTTTCTGTTTCTGCTGATCTTGTCTTTATCTCTCGCCCGCAGAACAAGAAGACAACACATTCGACGAAGCATCTGTTGATCGCTGGAACAGTTGTCACTGCAACGTGTGCAGGGGTGTGTATGACATGATAACTTAAGTTCACTGTAATGTTTCAAGTGAACATTAAAGCTGCAGTTGGTAGCTTTTATAAATATAACTGTGTGTCCTGTTTGCTGAAACTCTCACCCGACAGTAGTTCATGAGACAGAAACTCTGTGAAAGGAATATGGTTCCTCCTTGTGCTGCTGATAGCATAGAAAGGCGCTATACAAGTACAGGTCCATTTACCATTTACCATAGCAAAGTCCAAATACTAACATTTTGGGTTGAGATCTGAGAATGAGACTCAATAATAAGGTCTAACAAGGTTTTTTATCTCCTGTGTCTTTTGTTTCAGGTCCTTCCTCAATTTTTAATGAGCCAAACTAGTATAATAACCGCAACAGTCCACCCTTTCGTGCGGTTTGTATTACCCATCCCACTCTCAGGTAAGTTCTTAATCTCGGAAAACTAAAATACTTTAGCATAAATCATAAATCATAGATCAGAATACCTTCTTTTGCCTAGCCGACAGTAAAGCGACCATTAGAGGTCGCCAAAACTTCACCTTTTTGATTTTAATGGTGTAAAAGTCCTGCATTAGAAAACTATTTAGTCAAAACAACCAAATAGCGAATAGAACAAACAACTAAACTTATTAAACCTATTAAGTATATATATTTGTTAAAGGATTTTAAAAAATGCACAATACAGACAATTTTATCAGAAAAAACACATCTGTGATTAAATATTCACAGGAAATAATCTGCTCAAAATTCATCCAAATCACTTGTTTTACATAAACTTCCTGCCGTTGTTGTGTTCACTGTTTAGTTTTATTCTACAGTTCACCAGTTGTTCTCTATTGTTACTGTTGTATTGAATATAATATGAAATATCCATAAAACATGTCACTTAGTCAGTTTACTCAATGATAGAAAATATGGTCCATTAAAGAAAAAGGTTGGGATTATAAATGAAGGTAGACACAAAATGGTACATCTTCATTACACATTGCAACTCTCTCCAGCTGCTCTCGCCTACTTCAATGTGAGCTTTGTCAGAAGTGACGAGACAGAAACTGGGATCGAAGTGTTTGATTCCAATGGAAATCCTGTCGGCCTCTCTGAAGCAGCAGGAGAAAAGGTTTGTTTCTTTAAAAAGCAAAAATAAGTCTGATTGAACCCTTGTGGTGTTAAATGGTTTTTATTTTCATTCAGGCTGTGAGGGAGACAGCATTGTCAAGAGCGGCCCTGTTTGGTACGACCAGTGCCGTTCCTTTTGTCCTGTCTTCACTCTTAAAAAGGTCAGTTTCACATTCAGTTGTTTACCTGGACAAGATCACACCTGTTGAGACTTCACCTCACAGAGTTTCCTTTACAGAACCAGATTTGCTTTGAGGAACTCTCCGCTGGTCGGTCCTCTGAGTGGTGCGTTGGTTCTGTTCTTAACGATCCCCGTCTCGTTCAGTCTCTTTCCACAACTGGGAACGGTAAGATTCATGGTCCTCCCGTGCTGTGATGTTTTCCTTGTGATGAACTCGGCTGATATTGATCTTGTTTTTACAGATAAGGAGGGAGGATGTAGAGGACGAGCTGCAGGCAGCAGCGTACGACGGACAGTTATACTACCATAGAGGACTCTGAGGAGCTGTGTTATAGAGCGGATAGAGATGCTGTCACTGTATAGCTTCATGATAAATGTCCAAATGTACAAAGCCTTTAACAGACTCAAAGATGAAATGCAGCTTTTTCTCACAGTTTTAATGTGAAATATTGTGGTGGCTATTCTTTAAATAAATCATACAAAGGATGATCTTGTCTTTCTGTAACGTTTATTCACTCGTCTATGGATGGACTCATACAGGAGGAGGTGAAGGCTCGAATGTGTGAAAAATCAAAGCTACAGCGTCGCTTTAAACCTGTTTGGAGTCACTCTAACACAGAATTGTTTCTTTGTTGTTCTCTCAAAAGTGATGTTGGTTTCAGAATTATTTATATTTAGTTTGTATGTTTACAAGGACCTCGAAGCTCACTGGTTTAGAAAATACTTTTACAGAAATAAAAATGAAAATCATTTAATCTTTCGAAATTTGCTTTCAACGTTCATCTTTTCTTCACACACAACTTCATGCATCAGACGAGTCCCAGACTCAAGTGCCTGCTGGCTATATCTCTTTAACCTGAAGCTCTGGTAATTCTGCAGCAGTCTCTGCCTGCCCTGCTGACACATCTGTCACAGCTCACCCTCTAAGTGGCCAGAATCAATGACCCTGAGCCCCCCTGAATGCACTTACCAGAAAGACAGAGTCGTCTAGGCCACCTGGTTCTCTGGATCACAGCTGTGAGCAATCCTCATTCCTCAGGCCCTCACTTCTCTGCCTTTGTTTGATGGGGAAGTTGAGGTCAGAGTCCCTCTTTACCTTCAGCCCAGTGTCTGAAGTCCTTGGATGGCCAGCTTGTGGTGGCTGTTCTTTAAAATAAAGAGTGATGATAAAGTATGATCTTTCTGTAAGGTTTATTCAGTCATCCATGGATGGACGCTCACATACAACAGGTGGTGAAGGCTCGAATGAGTGAAAAATCAAAGAGGCAGTGTCCCTTTATCCCTGTTTGACACACAGTGACAAATCCCTGAGTTCTACGGCAACAAACAGAGAGTGTGGTGCGAAGATGGGTCTTATGTCCTTGGATGCTCAGTGAAGTCTCAATGTCACACTGTTTACTTGGACACAGAGTGTAGTTAGAAACAGGGTTAAAGGTTTACGCACATAATAAACAGGCTGTGTTTGGTGAAACGAAAAATTCCATCACAATATTTTGTTAAAAACACATTTTTAATACATTAAAACAAGCAGCAAGCCACTTTTTGATAGTAAATTTATTTAGTTGGAGTATTAGGTGTATTTATAGATAGGAAATATTACATCAATTCATGAAAATACATTTAGTTCCTTAAAGTTACATGAGCATGTCTATGTATTGCACTCTGTGTCTTATCTGTAATACTGAGGCATAAAACCATCCTTTTGGCAATGTGGTTGCATGTAAAACGGCAATAAACAAAACAGAACCTGAACAGTAAGACACACATAATGCAATATGAATCAATGTGGACATGGAAGCACCAATCATCTGATCTACAGATCAATGAGCTCATCGTTTCACTGTTTGAAAAAGCATCATAACACCGTTAGCTTGAATTTCAGCTGAGTGCAGCACTAAAGTCATTAGTAAAATACAAAATGTGACATTGTTTTTAAAAAACATAAAGAAACTCACGTGTTGTGCAACATCTATTGCACTTGTTATCCAATTACCACGTACGATGCATTTTCTGTCAACTAACTCATTAATTATATACGATGCTCTGAGCCACTTTGCTGCCTGTATTTATATCTGACCATTCACAGTGAGCACCCAAGATTTTGGACCGGGAACAAGATCTATGATGTTTCTAAGCAAACATTCACTAGAACAGACAAACATCAGATGTACCAGATTATTTGTCTCCATCTCGCAACATTGGACACAAATACTGCAGCGCCTCTTGTCCAGAACTACTGATGTTAAAGGATAAGGCGAGCATTATCTTACACTTATTGTCACCAAATCCCAGGAAAAGACCAAAGTTGACAGCGAGTTAGTCCATCTTTAAACTCCTATTGTCTGTGGCACTGAGCTCCATGCCCATTGGTTTGTACTGGAGATGTAATTCTTTAAAAACACGATCTCAAATATACAGATTTATTTTTAAAAAAAAGGCTAAAATAACATCCTAAAACATTACTCAAACAGCAGTAAACAGTGGACTATTTTAAGCTGCGGATTAATACACATTTTGTGCTGTAGAGTACTATAGTTCATGGAAATTAAGGCAGAGATCATCTGGTGCAACAGTGTGGAAAATTTGACAATTTTTTGTTATTAATTGATTAATTCAACACAAACAAATTAATAACGGAATATAAGATTTTACACTGAAGTCAAAAATAGAAAACAGCCACAGACCGAATTTGATTTTGATATTTAATGTGTCCGATTCGTGTGACGAGAAAGTTCTCCTTTCTGGTCACACAAATCGTGTCTTCTTTGTGTGTTACAAGTATTTTAGGAAATAAAAAATGAGGCTCAATTTGACAAAAACCGACAACGATCACTAAATTACTTTGACGCTGAAGAAGCCTTAAAAATTGATTTCTTCAGTATCAAAGTAAGTCAGTGACAGATGTCAGTAGATGCAATGGTACACAGCAAAACATTAACTGTTAACATTTTCCAAAATACTAAAAAATAAAAACTGATGTTGATGCTCAAGCTCATATTTATTTCATTAAATCAAGGGTCTTTAATAAGTTTATAAGTAATAGTAATAAGTCAGTAATTTGAGTTCCTGGACACATTAAATATCTAAATCATTCACTACTTTTGCCGTTATTTGTGTTTTTTAAGTATTTTTTGGGGCTTTTATTGCCTTTATGACAGCTGAAGACAGACAGGAA